TACTTGGTAGGTTAGTGGGTTGAAAGAGTTTGTGGAGTTCATAAAAATGATTTATGGAATTTTCTCTCCCTTAGAGTCAGGGCCATTATATCCAAACCCTGTCTACCACCACATATATATTACATTTTACACCTTGGGATAAACACTATTATTCTTCCAATTCATTGTTCTAGTTTCCAAAGTTTGGGGGTCATCTTAAAACCAGAGAGTTATCTTAAAAGTAATCTGGAAATGACATGAACAATGAACTGGCTTTATATTTTATAAAATTATATTTTAGTTTTGTAAAATAAAATTTTGAAAAATGAAATGTATTTTCATTTTCCAGGAGCATAGAATTAACATATTTTACATTTTTAAAACTAAAATATAAATTATATTTTAGTTTTGTAAAATAAAATAGCTGTATTTTCGTTTTCCAGGAGCACAGAATTAATACATAAGACAGTACAGCAGAACTAACTCAAGTGCAGACCAAAAGATGCCTTCACTGAACAGCGTAGACATCAACAAGCTTAATGAAGAACATAACACAGAAAGGAAGCTAACTCCAAGTTATCTGTATCACATTACTTTCAGCATCAATAGAACAACACCTGCTAGAACACAGTTAAGTGTGCATGGCAAGAAGAAAACAGCCTTACATAGCATGGCACCCTACAGGGGCCCTGTGGACAAAGTTACACACGTTACACTGATGCATGGGAACATGTTCCACATACATAAGACAGATACAGCTACTGGAGTTAGATCAAGTCTCATGTAAAAGACCTTTGTGAGGACTTTCACAAAGGCCTAGTGAAAACCTGGACAGCTCCTTTCCATTAAAATTGGCATTTAGAAGATGGAAATTAATGTTCTAGAGTGGAAGATAAACTTCAGGACTTAACTGAAGACAAATGTTGTGACATCCGCCCCAGGGAAGAAGCATTTTGCTTTTCTTTACATAGAGTCAACGAATACAAGATACCAATACACGCACAAACATTATATGGTAATTATAACTCTGTACCTATTAAAACACCCAAGATAAATTACAAAGTGGCTAAATTTCACATCTATATAGTGCAGTGCACAGTCCTTGAGCATGGGGCATAGAATAGCCTCTCCTCTCTCTCTTCAATCCAGCTTCTGCTTTTTGAAGAGAAAATTTATCACTTGCAGCTTTTGGCTTTTGTTTAAAGTCCTTAGAACCAGTTCATAATATGTGTGTAAAATATCACACACTCAATCTGGTGGGCTGTCAAGTATTGATGGATTAAAGGTAGATACAGATCCTACAGTCATTACATTTGCAGATAGCAGGCAATACGCGTTCAGTTTTAGTAAATAAACCATGTGCTTCAAAGGAAGAATCCTAATATCTTTATAGTCTGCAAAAGTGTTCTGAATCATTTTTCTTGGAGTAAAATCTCAAATACTTGGAATTTCAAAAAACAAAAACAAAAACAAAAAACTGCATTACTACTATCCTTTGTGACTACAACATATATGTTTATTTGTCCTTATATTATTTCTCTGTCTATAAATATATACTAAAATTTATCTTAGTTATTGGAATAATTGGAACCAGATGTGCTTTTGCTATCTCGGAAGTGGGAGACCTCATGGTAGGTTTTAATTGCAGAATCACAATCTTGACCTCGGGGTTTCATACAAACCTTAACTAATGGTTCCTCCAAAGTGATAGCGCGCTCTGTTGCCACTGGAATAGAGTTAATGAAACAATCCCACAAAAATTCAAGGGCAAGATTAGGTAATGATTTTCCTTAGGGTAAAAATTTTAAATACAGGCTTGCAATTCATAAGGAAAGCTGTAGAATTGTTTGCTCTGGATATTTTAAAAAGTTCAATTCTCATTTAAGGTCTCATCTCGTCCAACAGTCATTGAATGTGCTCCTGCCAACAGGTATGTGTGTGTGTGAAGGTGCACAAGTAACCTCCAGCCATTCACATCAATATGGAGTACGCTAAAATTTTTAAAGGAATATTTTATTAATATATATGCAGTGGTAGAAAAAAGTTGTTACATAACACACACACACACATACACACAGCATGGCAAAAAATACTGTTTCAACTCTGACAACCCCAGTGGTAGAAAGTGTAAGCATACAACTGAGCATGCAACAGCCTGTTTCTGTGCGTCTTCCCCTGGTGGCTCCTCCTTTTGCCTTGATCATATGGACTGTTTTTGAAGTTTGCTACAACCAAGTGCCATGAATGACCTTTGTGGTGTAGCACTCTCAGGTAGTGCTCAGGACCACATTTACTATTTCCCTCCCTGAAAGTCAATTATTTTCTCTGTAGTGTTATCATGGAAGCCTTGGGAACACTGAAGAGTTGAGGTATTTTCAGTGAAATGATACTATTAGTGATAATTAGCATAGAAGAGCACCAAGAATGGCATAAACGATGTATGGAATGTACCCACGGGGCATGAGTAATGACAAAGCAAGGAAAAAGGAGGCAGATCACCAGCCACTCACGCCAGCCAATAAGCAAGAAAAGCTACAGAGACTTGTCAGTAATAACATTGGTCTTTTAGTGACATCTAGTACCAAAGGACTAACAGGGAGGCTTAGGAACTCCACCTTGATTCTTCACCAGGCAGGTTCTCTGCTTATTCTCACTACTTGCTTTTGCTGGTGAGGCTGGACTGCACCAAAAACTCTCCACAAGGCATGCTCGTTTCCCCAGTGCCTCGTGTCTCTCATATACATTCAAGTCTAATATATCCAAGAAACACACAATTCTTTCCCAATCTATAAAAGAAGTTACCATCTTGAAGATCTAAGGCAGAATCAATTGCCCAAATCCCTACCTCCTTGCTATGAACTACTACCATTCATCCACCCAAGCAGACAATAGGTGAGAATTTACCTTAGACTGGGTAAGACTCTGGCACATGCATTTTACTGAATGGAAGGAACTGTGGGTTCTGGTAAGGCAACATAGGAAGGAGCCTGATGGCTGGACAAGGATATGAAACATGTGGCGAGATAGAATCATCAGAGATTCAAACCCTTCGCGTAAAAAGCAAAACTGGTTTAAGGGGAGTGAGAAAATGAGTTATAGAAACTCTTGAGGCTGAGCTACCAGGAACCAAATCATGGGTTTATCTTAAAAATCACCTTGTTTTTCAATTTTAAAATAAACATGTACTATTACAGTACATTTGGAAAAATGTAAAAAGTAAGACAACGTTT